ATCTTTTTAAGTGGGAGAACTTGCACAATTGGTGACTGACTAAATACTTATTTTCCCCACTGTATATATGAAGAGATCCATCCAATTGGCCAAATGCATGCAGGGCTCTGTTTGATTAGTGAAGTACTTCAAGCTTCTGTCTGAGTGACAACACTCATAAATGCAAACTTTTGAGCCAACCATTTATTGCGGTTTGTTAATTTTTTTGCGAAATGCACATTTCACAGACTGTTATCACGATGATGATAAATTTTCAATATATTGTGCAGCCCTACTAAATAGGAAATAGGTGGCAGGTTACTGTTGTAAATTTAGGTGTTCTTTAGAGAAGCTGCTTTCACTGTGTTAATTATTAATTTATCGTAGCTACCCTCAAAAGTAAATCAATTTTATTAATAATAATATAGTGACTCAGGTGCTTTTTCTTCACACTGTAAAGGYTTTTTAGCCTAAAACTTTCATGTTTATTAACTCATCATTCATTATTTTGGAAAAACTTTATTGTCATTGTGACTATTTTTTGCATGATATTCTAGTAAAGTCACAACGAAGACGACTCAGTCACCAGGAAAACATGAAAAATTGTTCAAACACTTAATTATATATAAAATAAAAATAAAATCTGTTAATGACAGTAAAGATTAGGAGAACTTAGTTATCAAAAACTAGCTAATCAAAGGCTGGTTCAGTATTTTACACTCTGTGGAGTAACAACACAAAGTAATTACCATAGTCCTATTTGCACAATATTTAAATTTTCAGTTTTGATGTGCTTTTGAACAGTTGCATAATTTTGTTATCAATTGACAAACAAATTTTATGTAATTACCGGTAAGATAAAATGAGAAACAACCTTTTATATCAAACTCAGCTGCTCAGAATTTATTTAATTTCTTCAAAAGGGAGGAAGAAGCCACCTTTAAAAAGCTCAGAGAGCTTCAAAGATTACCAAGGAGCTCTTGCTGCCTGTAAGCAAAACATAACAAATGTACATTTACCTCCAACTTGCACACCAACAAAGATCGTATGTGATCTTTTATCGCTCGGTCTGTGTGTTGGTCATGAGTGTAAGCTACGACCACACAAAGTTCTGGCTCCGTATCTGCAAAAATTCCTGAAATTCAGACGTTTTCTTATTCAGACATTTTCTTGCTCACAAAAGTCAATTAGCTGTGGTCTTCCTGTTTGCAAAGCTAAAAATGAATCATCACCCCTTCAGCAGATAAAGCTGGACCCTCTGCTCTTTATTCACTCTGCTGATGAATCATAACGACGAAGGTTTTACTCTTCAAAGTCTCCTGCCGTTTAGACTGAATAATATGTGATTCAGACAGTTTTCTGGGAATGACATACAGTACATTTGCTTCGTGAGGATAAGATTCTAACAAGCCATGRTAAATTAGAAGTTTAATTTAGTTGTTTTCTGCATTAATGCCACCATGTTTTCTGTCTTCTTTTTTTTATCTCCTCTTGTCTTTTACAGTAAGTCGGGAGGAAACTCCTCTTCCAGTGTGGAGGATGAGGTCTCTGCCTCTATCCGACCACTCATTTCCTCAGCAGGTGAGGCCTTCGAGTGGGGGGAGGGGTGGTGGTGGTGGGGGGCTCACCTGAATCAAATCCAAACTTAGATAGAACAACATAGATAGAATAAGACTCTGAAACCTTCCCATGTCTCCACGTAGAGCTTAAGTTTACTGCATAGAGCTGCTGATACATTATCCCATGATCCTCCTCTTCCTCCAGTCGAGGACTGCAGGCGCTCTGAGACTGGGGCTAACCACAGTGTGAACCCAACGACCCCCCCACTCATGTGACTTTGTGAATATGACCTTAGGACTATAGATATATTCTTTTGTTTGCATTATATCAGTTATATTTGATAGGTTTCCTTTGCTGTTGAATTATGTTTGCTTTCATTTTTAATCCTCCTGTAGCTGCAGCTACTGACAACACTGTCACTGTCTTCTCTCCCTCCCTGCAGGAAAGCAGAAACAGAAAGTGGTAAGTTGGTGACAGCAAACTCCCCCTCATTCACCATACACTCAGCTCTTGTTGGCGTCATGAGAAAGTGGCAGAAAGTAGCATCTCGGACAGGAAGCTCATGCCGTGCCATACTTCAGCCCTACTGAAGTATACCAAGCCATCCCCATCCCTGAAAGTGTTAGGACAACTTCTGGTACTCGTGACACTTTTAACTGTAGCAGTGTTGATTTCATTGCATCACCGGTGGATTTAGGAGTTGGCGTTTGGCGTGGGCAACAAGATAGTGAGTTGTGCACGATCAAATACATCGTCCTTTTTAAAATGGGCAAAACGGAGCTCAGTGACTCCTGGTGCCTTGGTTACAAATGCTGAGTTTAATGAGGCTGCAATGAAAGATCTGCCCATTTTCTCAATTTTCTTTCAATTTTGGGTCTTCAACAGTTGTAGCCATATACCCTCAAAAAAGACCAATGGTTAACCTTTCATTAAGTCACCACACTTAAACTGACAGTTGAACCTAAAATGTCATCTTTAATATTTGCGTAGAAAACTTGGTGCTTAAGCCAAGGTTTAGGTTTATGGTTTTGGTAAATTACCATACCTAACTTNAGTGAATGAAGTTCACTTCAAAAGGAAGATCCTTATTTTTTGCTGAGAGCTCAGAAGCATCCGGTTCATTTGCTGCAACAAACTCAGACAAAAAAGTAATAGCAGTAATAATAATAATAATTCATTTCAATTCAAAAATACTTTTTTGATCCCAGAGGGAAATTAGGTTGATAAAAATAGGCCAATTGCAATTGGAGCTTTAGGAACAATGAAGCATGGGTTTCATGGGCAATTGGACAAAGTCTTATGTTGAGTCAGTGCCAAAGAAATGCAAGAGTGTGCTTCTAGGAACTGCTCACAAACTTCGACGAGTACTCGACTGAACACCAGACAGACATTAAACCTGAGCGACCTGAATGAACCAACAATAAATGAAGAAATGCTAAGAAACTACAAAATAAATAATAATAATGATCATAATAATAATTAAAATTTTCTTCTTTATGCAGACAGAAAGAGCATAATAATAATGATCATAATAATAATTAAAATTTTCTTCTTTATGCAGACAGAAAGAGCATAATCTTATTTAAGAAAACAAAAACCCTAATTCAGCATCAGGACATTATTTTCAAATTCTTCATCTCAAAAGCTTCAGTAATGTTAAGTAGTTTGTTGAAATTTAGTGATTCATCACCTGGCTAATGACAAGCTAGTTTTGTTTACAGAAGTGCCTGTTCTGAACATTTTTTGGTTGAACTGGTTTGAACTGTTTTTTGGTTCAATGTCATTAGGAATCTGGGTTGTATAGTTAAAAAAGAGGAATCTCCCAGCTTCACAGTGATGCCAAACATTATACGAAGGGATTCCCTGGCACAAAGGCAGCTGGCAGAATCAAAATGGTCCATAACCAATTAAAGGGACAACTAAAAAGAATTAGAATAAAATTAGTTATCTCTGAAAATATACATTTTATAAACATTTATGCAAAGGTAGTTTAGGACGACCTAATCTACCTAACTACCTAATTTCTCTCTGGGATCAGTAAAGTATTTTTGAATTTGAATTGAATTGAATTAAATTGTAATAGTGACTGTGATACCCAGACTCTGTGTATTATTTATTTATTTAACATTAATTTCAATTAAGGGAAAAAAATTACATTTTCCCTTCTTTGCACTGCAGCCTATTTTCATTCTGACTCATTTTACCWGCACGGGTCACATATCTGTTTAAGCTAAAGATTAGTTTTGTTACTTTTTCCAGAGAGTACTCAGTGAATTGATTGTATTGCGTAAACCCTTTGAAAACATCCTAGTAGATACTGAAGAAACCATCCATTAATTTAAAAAAATTCTGGTGGGGGGACACTTAAACCAATGAAAAAATATTGTTATTACTCCATTTTACTCAAATCTTTTCAATCGCCCCTAAGGCAAATTTTGTTATCCTTTAATAGCGTATTTTTCCATAAAATGTTTTCTTATCATTGTGCAGATAATAATCAGGACAAAACTAACTAGTCTACATTTAATGTAGTGTAAAATTCCTGTTTGTTTTTTCTCGTCATTATTGCGTCTTTAAACTGCTTGTATTACATCACTGCATTTTATCTGGTGTTTTCTGTGTTGTGCTACTTCTTATTGTGAAACCGGGTTAGACTTTGTAACTTTTCTATAATATCAGTGTACACCCGAAAAACATATTCATCTTTTATTGTAGCAAATGATAAAATATCTGTTAGTGGGTCCAGATTTAAGTACCTTGTTTATAAATTATGTTTTAGACAAACAGAATAATGCCGGTCGAGATGTTTAATGCCTTCTTTACCCAGTTTTGTTTCTCATTTTAACAAATATTTTATCATTTGCTGCATGCTCTAAAGTTGCTGCATATTTCTTCATTTGACACGTGGTTGTAGTTGAGTCTCGACTGATTCTGTAGTTGCTTCAGCTCTTCTTGGAACACGCTGTGCTTCAGTGTTTGGTGCTTTGTGTTGACAGACGGAGCACATCCCTCCGTACGATGTGGTTCCTTCCATGAGGCCTGTAGTGCTGGTGGGACCGTCGCTCAAGGGTTACGAGGTGAGGGTCTCCWTATGGTCGAACCTAAAACAAAGCTAAGAACAGTTCTGAGCCAGCAGTGTGAATTTTTAGCACCGGGAAAGGACAAAAAGCAGATAAGACCTGTATGTTTCTCCTTCCCTAAAAATAGCTTCCTGTTGGCACAAATAATTATGAGCGTGTCATTACCCACGTATCATCTAGACTGCAGCCAGACTAACAAGGAGACTAAGAAGTCAGATGAAAATATGTTGAGTAATTGGCAGAATTAGAATTCCTTATGAGGAATATATTTCTTTAAACAGCCTCATCTCCTCCAAATACTTTAAACATGCTGCAGAAATTCACTGAATATTATAATCGCAGCTTTAGTTAGTGTGCGTTTGAGATTTTGTTTAATATTGTTCCAAAATATACATTTTAAGGGATGATGAATGGTCTGCATCCTTACTTGTCATTTGGTCCTTGTGTGAGGAAGAAMACCACAGACTTATTTATTTTTKTTTGTTTTTATTTATGTATTGTTTGTTTTCTATAAAAAAGACCGTTCCTTACAAATCCCAAGAAATGTTTCAAACACTCCTGTAAACTCCCAGTGGTGGTCTGTCTAGTGCAGTACAAATAAAATAACAAAACACCAACAGGCATTGTGCATAAATTAATTTTTATTGGGGGGAGAGCTAAAAAGAAAATGAATTAAAAAAAAAGCTACATGGCTGACTCATACAGAAAACTGGGTCTCTGGACTGAAATATATTTTTACATCTAGGCATCCTAATGATAAATATGGTATTTTTATTTCTTTTGCCATAAAAATACATCTTTTGTCGATTTAACTAAGACTTAATCATTGAGTTTTGTAAAGTTAAAAGCCTTTAAGGAGCTTACATTTTTCAATATTTTTGTTTCAGGCTGAAATAGCTTTAACAGACTGAGCAGTTTATTTATAAAACTTGTATTTTCAGGCAGTTATTTTTAGCAATTGATTTTTTTTTTTTGCTTTGTTTTTCCTTCTTTCCTTCTTAACACTTATTGTTAAAGGACCTTCTGAGAGGTTACAAAAACAACAACAAAACAATTGCTGAAAGAGCTTACCTACAGATCTCTGTGTTGGGACACATTTTGGCCTGAGTCATGCACCAGTTTATCTTTTGTCTTCTCTGTGCAGGTAACGGACATGATGCAGAAGGCACTATTTGACTTCCTCAAGCACAGATTTGATGGCAGGTAAGTCAAAGTCAAGTAATGTCTTATGTTAAGCCCTTTACATATATACTGTATGTCATTTATCATTTTCAACAGGAACATTTCCTAACAATATGAAAATAGCCAAGGTAATTCCTATTATAAAAATGGTGAGAAATGTATGTTTACTAATTACAGACCAATATCCTTATTAYCACAGTTCTCAAAATTMTTGGAGAAGTTATTTGTGATCAGATTAGATCAATTCATCATTAAAARCAATATTTTAAGTAGCAGTCAGTATGGACTTAGAGCCAATAACTCTACTTCAATGGCTCTTATGGAACTGATAGGACAAATAAAWGCTATTGATCAAAAATAATATTGTGCCAGTATTTATGTTGATTTAAAGAAASCATTCAGCASGACTGACCACAGCGTTCTCCTTGAAAAACTAAATAAATATGGGATTAGAGGACCAGCATTACAGTGGAWATSTAGTTATTTGGAAAATAAGAAACAGTTTGTACAAATACATGATGTAAGATTTGAACTCTGTGGAATAACTTGTGGAGTCCCTCAGGGTTCTGTACTTGGACTGAAATTGTTTATCTAATATGTAAATGAGTTGGTTAATGTGTCAGGGCTCTTTAAATGTGTTTTGTTTGCAGATGATACCACATTTTTTTGTGTGGGTAAAGATCTAGAACGAATGTTAAAGAAAATGCAAGCAGAATTTGTGAAAATACAAATCTGGTTTAAACTCAACAAATTATCATTAAATTTGGACAAAAACTAATTGTATGATATTTACAAAGAGACAAAGAACTGTTAACATTCCATTTAGAGTTGGTGGTGTAGAGATTAGTAGAGTCAGTGAGGTGAAGTTTTTGGGTGTTATAATTGATGAGAAACTGACATGGAAACCTCATGTAAATTATTTAAGAATAAAACTAGCTAAATCTATTGCATTGCTTTACAAAGTAAGGGACTTGTTCAATTATAAAGCTTTGTACGTATATGTTATATAACACATTGATTGTTCCACATTTGGTCTATTGTGTTAAAGTATGGGGTAAAGCATGTGACAATTACACATCTTGTTTTTGTTTTGCAGAAAAGAGCTATGAGTTATCACTCGAAAAAACTACCATTATCCATCTAAWATATTATTCTGTAAACTGAAATTATTGAAATTCTATGATTTGGCTGATTATATTTTGTTAGTTAGCGCACCGAAACGCATTACCTTCAAACATTCAGATAAACTTTGCAAAGTGAGAGAGCTGTTATAGGGAATAGTGATGTTCATGAAACCTAAACATGTTTGAAAGAACGGTGCACCTCAATCCAAGGAGTCAGATTGTGGAATAATTTGGAAGATGRTGTTAAAAGTGCCACATCAATGTACATGTTTAAGAGAATGATAAAGACAAGATTGTTAAAAAAAGAACATGGTTTAATATGTAGCCATTCAATTTGTTGTTCTAGAAAGATTCAATGTTTTGTTTTGTTAACTGAAGATTATTATAATTTGAATTTATACTTGAGAAAAAAAGGGGCAGACATTATAAGATTTTTTCCTTCTTTCTGCTGCCTTTCATTTCATTTTATTTGTATTTTCCTTTTTTATTGTACATATAATTTTGTTTTTTATGGAATGAATGAAGTTTGAAATCAAATCAAAGTGTTTGTCACGATTTCTCAACATAGAAGTTTGGAACGTTGTTACAATTCAACCTCCTATTTTTTAGCTTAATTTCAGGAAAACTTCTGTCAGATTCAACAGAGAATACAGACTAGCTTTAGATTTTTTAGCACAAACTTAACTCAGGTGGAGGTGTTTAAGTATCTGGGTGGTCTTGTTCATGAATGATGGAGAGGGAGATGGATCGACGGATCGAGGCCTCATCCTCAGTAATGAGGGTGTTGCTTTGGTCTGTTGTGGTGAAACAAGAAAGCTCTCTGWACTGGTCTGTCTGTGTTCCAAGCCTCACCTGTGGTCCTGAGGTTTGGATCTTGATAGAGAATGAGTTTCTGGATGCAAGCAGCTGGAAGGATCTTCATTGGGCAGCATCTGCTTCTTCGCATCGAAGGAGTGGTTCAGGTTTCCAATTAGATTTTAGATTTTATTAACCTTTATCGTCCCGCAGAGGGGAAATTGAGTCTCTGTATTTAACCCATCGCACATGTGAACACACATGTGGAGCAGTGGGCTGCTAGTTACGGTGCCCGGGGAGCAGCTGGGGGTTGAGGGCCTTGCTCAGGGGCCTAGGGTGGGGCTGTTTGGCTCGGGGAGTCGAACCGGCACCTTCCGATCACAGACACGGCTTCTCTACCCTCTGCGCCACCACCTCCTCCAATTAGAGACGTTTCAGATGTTTCCTCCTGGGAAGAGGCCTCGGGCAGACCGTTGAAGGGGTTATTTATCCTCCTCTGTGGCCTGGGAATGCCTTGAGGTGTCCCCTAGGAGGAGCTGGAGAGGGAGGTCTGTGTTTCTCTCCTTGATCTGTTGTTTTTTGTTTTGTTTCAGGATAACTATAACACGAGTCACCGCAGATATCTCATTGGCCAAGAGGTCTGTTCTCAACAACCCCAGCAAGCGGGCCATTATCGAAAGATCCAACACTCGCTCCAGTTTAGGTAAGAAAACATAATGGTAAATGGACTGCACTTATATAGCGCTTTTCTATCCATCCAGGACACTCAAAGCACTTCACACTACAATCTGTGTCCTCATTCACACAGCACTCTATTAGGTCTCTACAAAGCTAACATGTACAACCATCTATGGAGACTAATCAGTGCCAATCACATTCATACACTGATGGGACACACATCAGAGGCATCAGGGGTGAAGTGTCTTGCCCAAGGATACAGTAACTAAAACAGCTGGATGGGGGATCGAACCAGCGACCTTTCGGTYCCAGGACGACTCCCCTAACCATTCTGCCACTGCTCAAAATCAATGTCTGTTGGTTGAGATCACTTTTCTGTGGCTCAGGTTGACTCTGAAAGTGAATCAGTTTGTAAAACAATCCAAACATGATTTCTGGGCAGCATTTTTGTTTCAGACTTAATATTAGGGGTGTAACTCACTGGATTTATCATGATACAATATATCAATTATCAGTGGTGGGCACCAGCTCGCTAAAGCGCAAATCTGCTAATTGCGGACCTAAATATTTCGTTTGCGCTTTAGCAGTCTTTCTAGTTTTTATAATTCATAAGTGGATTTGCGCTTTCTTAAATTAAAATACAGTACCGCTAAGAACTAATTGTCTACCAGTCATCATTATCTTGAACAGCGGAAGGTATGGCTGTTAATGAATCACAACACACGTGATCTGTCCAGCATCACCCCTCCCAGATAAACACACGTATTTGAAACGTATACTTCCTTGCTGACAGTTGCTGTCGGTCACGGTTCTCATTTCCCACAATGCTTTGTGTCTGCTTACATAGCAGGAAGGCAATGTTTAGTACTCCCCTTCCCGGCAAAAACAGTAAACGTTTGTAATCCAAACCAATTTTTATGTATTGGTTTATTTTACTTTACAATTGGAGCTCCTTTTTAAAAAAAACAAACAAAGTTTAAACGTTGGAGCTCAATACTTGACGTAATTGGTCGAAGCAATCCGCCAATGGGGTTAGACAGACATCTAGTGGTCAACTGGAGCAACTACATGGAAAACCTTCATTTCCTGTCACAAATCAAATCCGACATGTATACCCAGAATGCATCACTTCAGTTTTCCAATAAACAGTTTTAAAATTACTTTATTGATGCTTCTTTAATTAAAAAATCTACAACAAACAAAAGAAAAAGACAAAGAACCAGCCGAACTAGCAATCCTCAACAAYTTTTTAATTTTTACACCAGGATCCAAAGTTCTGTTTCAGGAAATCACATCCCCAGCAATCAACGCTTGTAGGATTAAGCTGTACAAGGGTTCATGCACCGCTAGTTCGCAGTGTTGTAYATATATTGTACAATTGTTGCCAGCTAGTAAGTGTCAAATTGAACTTGCRCTTTAAAATTAGCTTCCGCTAGTTTTTCTATGGCCTAAGTGTTTTTGAAGTTGCGGACCTAAACATTTTCATAAGCGCTTTAGAAATTGCGGAGCTAATTTTTGGGTTAGCGCTGCCCACCACTGTCAATTTGTTTGGATGACGATACGATATTTCTCAATATCACAAAGTCTGTCACAATACAATTCGATTTGATTTGATTCAATAAGTCTGTGATTGATATGATGCATATCATATTGAGCCACATGTGGATCGATGTATTGTTACAACCCTACTTAATATTATTTTTGTTCCATCCCTATAGCGGAGGTGCAAAGTGAGATTGAAAGGATCTTTGAGTTGGCCCGCTCCCTGCAGCTGGTGGTGCTGGACGCCGACACCATCAACCATCCAGCCCAGCTCCTCAAGACTTCTCTGGCCCCCATCATCGTCCACGTCAAAGTCTCCTCACCGAAGGTAAAGCACGAGTGAATAACAACCCGCGGCGTTGTGAAAACGATGATCCTAAGCTTCTTTTTTTTTCTGTCGCCCAGGTTCTGCAGAGGTTAGTCAAATCCAGAGGGAAGTCCCAGAGCAAACACCTGAATGTCCAGCTAGTTGCAGCGGAAAAACTGTCCCAGTGTCCACCTGTGAGTGTCCATCCTCACCTCTAACATTCTCCTGCACCAAGACACGAACATCCCTGCTGCTTTTTGAATTAAAGAAATGAACCTGAAACGAATACTTTGTCTGAATTCCGGGACCTTTTTTTTTGTCGGGGCGAGCTCACCAGATCAGTTACAGAGCCTGTGATTGATAAACACACATGAACTAAAAACACGGCTGAACCTCCGTGGTGAAAGAAACCAGATTTTTCACAGGATCTTCTGAGCCAAACGAACAAAAGAAAACTACTCCGGCTGAGATTTGCAGACTGAATTCAGTTATAAAAGCAGCTCATTCTGCCATAATTTATGCATTATTAACAGAACAGAGGTTTTCTARTTGATGGAGGTTGAGTTTAATGAGACAAACCAAGAGAAATGCTAACAAACCTTTTATTTATGCAGCTATCAGCACTTCTTATGTACAGCACAGAGACGTTTAAGCTAGTTTGGTTTCTCCTTTTAAAAGTACTTACGAAGGACTTTCTACTAAAATGTTGAGTCTAAAGTCCGATTGCCGAGGCCATTAACTGCTGAAATCATCTCTGCTKCTGACAGGAAATGTTTGACATCATCCTGGATGAGAACCAGCTGGAGGACGCCTGCGAACACCTTGCTGAATATCTCGAGGCCTACTGGAAAGCCACCCACACCTCGATGGCAACGCCCCTCAACCCTCTGATGGGTCGGAACCTGGGCTCCACCGCGCTCACTCCTTACTCCACCAGCATCTCTGGTCTGCAGGTACGTCCAAGAAAGAAGTCCGAGATTGTCCAAARCAAGTCTGCCAGTCTGGCTGCTTTTATTGTTCAAGTACTTTTAGCGACAAAACAGATCATAAATTTTCAAACACGACATACGGTTATTAATTACTGCACATCACAGAGGCTAACGTTAGGGGCTTCATGTTAGCTCTCTGTTGTTCACGTCTGGTGTTTTTGTCCTGCCTGTGCCTCCTGGTGCGGCCGTGTGATCAGCAGAACCAAAAAGTGCGACAGAGCAACCACACGGGAGACCATTCCACCTCGAATGAGCGGCGCAACCTGATGACGTCGGACGAGAACTACCACAACGAGCAGGCGCACAAGGGACGCAACCGCATGTCCTCGGGCTCGCAGCACAGCCGAGAGCAGCAGGACCCTTACCAGGACTACCAGGACCCCTATCAGGATGCGTACAAGCCGCATCGTAACCGCAGCTCACCGGGCAGCTACAGCCATGACTCCCGGCACCGGCTCTGAGCCCCACTCCTGCCAGGACCACCACCAGGACCCTAACGACCCAGGTTTCTCTCAAAATGAACCATGCAATAGAACCAAGATGGTCCCCAAATTGTACCTTTTTTTTCTTCCTTTTTCCGTTTCTTAAACTACCTGGCTATATCTGTCTTCTAAAGTTGACTAATGTTCAGGTATATATTTTTAATTGAGCTGTCAATCAGCAGCATGAGAAGCCAGGYGGTTCAGAATGCCAACATTAATTAACACTAAACACCTTTAGGTTGTCTTTCTGGGAACTTTGGGGATTTTACTAACACACTGCAGCACAGCCTCTGTCGGCGAGCTAACTCTGGGTACAGGTGACTGTGGCTGGGGTTTTTGTTCCTGGTTGAAAGGGACGACTTCTGCAGGCTGCTGCTCCTCACCTGGGTCGTGTACAAAACCTTATTTTAGCTTATCGCATGCTGATAGTCGATCAAACTCTGCATCACTGATATTTTGTACCGAGGTTTCTGATGCGGTTCAGACACTGGGAATCCTGTTTGGTTTTGTTTTTTTGTTTGTTTTGTTTTGTTTTGTTCTTCCTCAAATCATCCAGTTGTGGATCAGCAGTCAGAGGGTTTAGGTCTCTGGTGTACAGATAGCTTTGAAAACTGGTGCTTCACAACCCTTCCCCCCCCAAACTACTTTGCTGTTTGCAAGTCACTTTGAGCAAGGCCAGCTTTTCTGTAGCATTGCTTTGGCATCTCGTTCGGGTCGCTGATGTTGCTGGGATCAGATCCAAGTGTGAAGATAAAAAAATGACACCAAGAAAAAAGACAAGTTTCTGTCGGTGTGGTAGCCCTGAACGATCATCCGCTAGTTCATTTTTTCATTTAACAGCTTTCAAATTAAAACCACACAGGGACAAAGACGACGGTTTGTCCCCATCAGAAGGTCCTGGAGTTTGGATTAAAACGACAGAACGTCAGGATCTGCTGCGTTATGGCACCTCTGTCCTGACTGCACAGCTCCATCCTCTCAGACCTAAAACAGATCCTTGACTTGACGTTTGTAGGAACACACACAGAARGTAAAAAAAGAAAAMGAAAAGAAAGAAAATATAAGTTMTAAACTGTAGCGCAGAAGAGAAATGCAGACAAATGAWAAATGCTGCATGATGTAGAAACGGAGCCATTAAAATATGTTTTTATGTATTCAGTTGAGTTGAAAAAAAAAATGCACTGAAGCTAAGTTTACCGAACCGTTACGGTGCTTTCTGCTGTGGTTCTTGATGGCTATTTATAATTTGCTGCACATATCCTTGTAAGATAAATTATCTAGAGATTACACTTTATTTAAAGAGTTGCTAAAAGAGATTTGTTTCATTTCTGGTTCACGTTTTATCAATCGTGCGTCTAATTTGCCATTAATTTGCTCCATGAACCTGTTTTTGATTTTAACAGTGACATTAACCGTGTGATCAGATGATACCAGAGCTTTGCCGTCCAAATTGACTAATCCTTTTTTTCCTTTTGTGGGGAACAAGCTTTCATTTTAAACAAGCTCTAAAAGGCTTTTTGAATTTTTTTGACTTAATGGGAATGTCAATGTCATTTTACAAGTTGTTCTTAATTTAAAGTTTTCACATTGAAAATATAGGATTTAAATATTTGTATGTTTATTCACAGTTTAAACAATCAACTCAGCATAAAAAGTAAAGACATTTGTGTTTGGCTTTAAATTTTAAACTGCTGGAAAATATCTTAATTTCCCTTTTAAATGGTGCCACATTTGTAAGGAACATGCATTTGTGGGAGGAGCAGTAGTATGTGAGTTGCCACAAAAAAATATTCTAAATGTTCTCTGCCAAACTGAGCTTCTGGTACCTCCAGGTGCTGCCAGTCAGGAGTCTGATATCAGATTTATTGTCGATAAGTGTCGTTACAACAAAGAAATAATCTACCAAACACAAATTTACTTATATTTTGTTCTAAGTATAGTCTGTCCAAGGGGGGAAAAAAAGCCACACTTCTAGTTGAATCTTGTTTTTTATGGGAGTAAAACRCATCAAATGACAGAAATCGTACTGTGTGAAGCAGAAACTGAAGTTTTTGTCTAAARCTACGTTCACACCGCAGGTCTTAAWGCTCAAATCTGATTTTTAGTGTGGTYGTTCACATTTTAGTTTAMATATGACCTCCATCACACTCCAGTGTGAACGGTCCACAGCCCTAAAGCAGAAGAAGTGAGGTCACATGCAGCACGCTGTTTATAGACGTAAATATGTTACATACATATTAGCGTGAGTGGATCAGTTTCAAAGACGTAAAATAAGTACAACTATTATTATTATCTGCTGTGCTTCTTTCTTACAATGTTTACTTTTGATCTTGCCGCTTCCTGCCTTCTTAGGTGTAGAAACAAACGCCAGTTTGGATACAATCCATCATGTTGGTGAACCACCTTTAGCATCATATGTTGGTGTAAATTCTCACTCATCCAAGACAACAAACATTTTAGAAAGTCTAAAAACAACAAAGCAATTGGACTTCTGTTCTGTAGCTGAAGACGTGCATGATGTTAGTATGGATGATATCAGTATCTGGATCAATGCATGTATCCCTTACTCACTGATGTCAAAGTGGAAATGCAACATGATTGTTCAGACAGCATTCCTTTAAAAATAAATCATCGGATGTGTATCTGATTTTGTACTACATATTAAAACAACCTGGGTTTAATATGAAAAAATAAATAAATAAGATTYGTCACGTTCAGACCGTCATTAAAAAAAAAAACAGATCTGAGTCACTTTTACCTGCAGTGTAAATGTAGCTGATCATCTACACAAAGTGCGATCTATATAATTTAAGATTTGAATAATGAACAGCGTCTTTTTAATTGAAGAAAAAAATCAACAGTGATGCTTTAGAGAAAAGGTAATTTATGATTTATGTGTATAACTTTGTTACAGATAAAGGTGGTTTTTGACAATCAGCTAAATTAAGAGCTTCAACTCTTAAATATGCGCAGCTTAAAACAGGTATTTTAGATTAAATTGACGGGCAAGAAGTTGGCCTAATGCTCCTGATGTGTGCAGTTCTTTAAAAACAAACATTTTAATGAGGCAGSGTTACTCAGATACTACTTAGTGGAAAGCTAGCACTAGCCTCAAGGCCAAATGTTTTCACATTTAACTTCACGTGGCAGCAAAACAAACCAAGATTTTGAAAAATATTGGGAACAGTTCGTATGTTTTGGCAWTCTGACCACTGCAATATCAGGTAGATGTTTAGTTGCAGGCCCTGAAAGGAAGTCCAGAAACAAGCAGCTAATGTAAAACTACTACAGTTTAGTCTYGTCTTTAATCCTCTCAAAGTTTAAAAAGTTAATGAAGTGTTTGCGCTGATCATTGGGTTTTTCTGAGRCCTCCGGTATGGAGCAGAACTAGCAGCTGCCACTAGATGGCAGCAAAGGAAGTTATTTATCTCAGCGTAGCTGCTCTTGAGTAGTGATGTTAGATACTGCCAATTTTCTTTTCGATACTGGTACCAAGTAAAATTTGACTGTTATCGGCGATACTGATCTGATACTACTATGTGATAACACACATAACGTGTCTGGTAAATCTTAGAGTAGCGTTTTTCAAATAACCGCTTTATAAATAATACATGACAGTAATTTTTTTTATTTAAAAGTATAACCCTAATCTTATATATTTTAGCACAATCTAAAATTCTTATTCTAAAGAAATAAAATAATTTTTAAATAGTGAATAAAAGTGAGAAAATATTCTAAAAGTTGTTACTTTGTATATTTTGTAGCATTGTTTGTGGGTTTGCAAAGAAGGTCCCTGGCCAGAGCTAATGTTGTTTGGGGGACCAGGGCATGAAAAAGTAAGGGAACCCCTCATCTAGAATTTAATTACAGTCAACTGAAGCAGATTTTATGTTAAAATGACCTGCAGTACATCTAGACTGAGTGACTGACTGAGCACAGGCCAAGTGCTTATGCATTACTCAAGCGGAAGAAAAAATAGTTCCCTCCAACCACATTTAGACAAGATGTGAATAGTTTAGTTATTTTCCACTATTTTCCTGTTAATGATATACATTATGTAAAGTAACTAAAGTATCAATATTTTGATTTTAGTATTGATTCTAGAACATAAAGTTCTTGTATCGGCAGTATCGATATTTCAGTATCGATCTGCACATCACTACTCTTGAGGAGTATGAGATTTAAAGAAGTTAAAACCTTTCTGTAATGTCTTGAAAGAGCAGTTTTATTTTTCCTGGGAATCACGAGGAACAGAAAAATGGCTCATCTCCTAATCTGGCTACTCAGTTTGGCTCGGTGAAAGTGTGTCCTGTTTTACTGCGCGCTAAAGTTAGCTCAAACGCTGTCCTACATAGTGCGTATGAGGGTCCCCCAAGAAATGTTCAGTCTAAAGCAGGTCTGAGGCATCATGCTCATTTTGTCCTAGTTACACAAAGTTTCTTTGAACCTGACGTTAGATGCTTGAACTCGTATTTGTAGATCTGGATAAAAACAAATGGTGACAAGTGGGTACAGATTAGCTTAGAAATGTGAATCCCTTGTTTTTTTGTTTYGTTTCACATAGTTTAAACCAGCAGCTTCTGTGTCTCCTGCCCCGCAGCGTCAGAACTGGCTGATTGGTTTAAAAAAAACACATAAATTTAACCTGGGCTTCTGGAGACGATCAGAACGGATTTAAAAATATATCTTCTTATTCAAACTCCTTTTACTTTGACTTGTAGCCAAGCTCCTCTCATGTCGTTGCTAACTTTTGTTTTTGGTGGGGGAAAGAACGATTAAAAAATAATAATAAATAAATTTAAAAAAAAGGAGCAAACCTTTATTCCAGTGGGAAAGCGATGACATTTCCTGGCAGTTATTTTTCTAACAAATAAATGTACATACTGTCTCTGAGAGATGCGTTGTGTTGTACCCGCGAGGCGAGACGACGGCAGCAGCGAGGTTCAGTATACTAAGTTTCTGTCATGTGCAATACAAAAAACGGCATGCTGTTTTAAAATGAGGAACTTCATGTACTGTACTATGCAACCGCAAACTGTGTACATCGCTTCATGCTGTAGCTTCTCCAAACACCCCTTTTTCCGAGCAGCTTCATCTGGACTTTAAGGGAATTTTTGTTTTTGTTTTAGTTTTGTTTGTTTTGTTTTCTGTGGAAAATGACAGCGGCTGATGCGGTATTGCATGCCTAATATTCTAATTTATAAAAAGGATTTAAAGAGAAAATATGTGACTTCTGAGTGTTTCGAGCACTAAAAACATCTTTTTCAAAATAAAGGAGTCCTTCTGGATGTGTTTTTATCTTTTTGTTTCACTTGTAACAGTTTTCAACTTGTCCTCATTAGAATATTCATAGATTTTCAACATTTTAATGTCTAAAATGGGCAAATGTGACTATCTCCACCATCTTTTAAATTATTCTAAATAGTGCAAGTTTTTCAAACTGAAAATTCAAGGATTCTTGCTCAGTTATTTTTTTTTTGAACACTCACAACTAACAGCATCAACATGAAACCCATACCCATCACATAAAATAAGGGATTAAGTCATGTTTTGTATACTTAGCATACTGCCAGATTTCTGACTTTTTAAGCTTCATTTTGATACCAGGGGTTCGGTTCCAGAGAAAAGGCTCAATTTGCCTTGTTAATCAGGATCTCTGGTTCTCCCAGCTGGTACAACAGGGGGGTTGGCCCCAGCTGAAATCTGATTGGTCCCCTGAAGTGCCCCTGTCCTCAGTCACTCTTTTTTTTTATTATATTGAAAGCTTTATACAAACCACAAGGCAGTATAACAAATACGTATTCGAATACAAAATAAAGAGGCATAGGTGCAGAACAGAAAACTTAAAGAGAAAAAAAACCTGTATATAAATAAATCAAAACACTGAAAACAGGTCACTCATTTGTCCTTTACCTGGGAGTGATGATGGTGGATGCAGTTCCATGTTCAAACACTAGTTGTGCTAAYGASTCCAATAATAAAGTCCAGAATGAATCAAGCTGACAGAATTCTTCTTCTCTTCTTAAGAAAATTTGWACAATCCTGAAAAAAGTCTTTCAACTGACAATTGATGGCTGGATTTTCTCACATTGTGTGTTGGAGAATATCTTATCTATGTACAGTAAAGTGTGTGAAAAACTGGTGAGAATTTACTGTGCAAGCCTTTTTTCAGTMCCACTTATACAATAAATCTCCCCTTATGGCTTATAAAAGGTTTATAGACAGGTTACTAATTCATCTGTAAACACTTAATAAATGTTTATTATGCAATAATTAAAGACAAGAAAGAAAACTTCAGTTTCATACCAAATGAGACAAATATGTTCACGTACGTATCATATCTCTAAGATCTGCCTCCTCCCTCCAACTCTCAGTACCCCCTGCCTGCCTCAGCACCATGGGGAGCAGAGCTTTCAGCCCCTCTGCTCCACAGCTCTGGAACTCACTACCCCATGGATTACRCAATACCACCTCTCTCTCCCTGTTTAAGACTGGCCTGAAGACACATCTTTTCAGATKAGCCTACTGTTAACTCCGATTGTACCTCAATATATGACTGTTTTGTAGTCCTCATTTCTGTTTCTCCCCCACAACCCTATTGTTCAACTTATCTATTTTTTGTATTTCATTACATGACTGTTCTGTACTCCTCATTTCTATGTTTCTGCCGCACTACTCTATCACTCTATGTTGTTTCTTTTCTATTATACAGTGTCCTTGGGTGTCCTGAAAGGCGCTTTATAAATAAAATGCATTATTATTATTATTATTATCATTATTATAACAACTAAACAGGGCCGGATTTAGAGGGATAGTCATGTTCGAACATCCTGAGCTGCTCAGGGTCAATTAACCTTGTTAATCCAGTTTTATTTTGTCACTAAAATTGCTCAGAGGTTGGCATTGGAATTGAAACCCTTCCTGTAGCAAAGTTGTGTGACTCAACCAGCACCTTCTTCAGCTGGTCAGGATTTATTTTGACGAAATTAAAGAGTTACAAACTACCATTTAATAGTGTTTTTTATATAACAATTCAACATGTTTACATGAGTCTTAAATGATAAACTACTAGTTTTCTTTCATAAAGAGGAGRAATTGAGGACCCAGATGATATGTGGAACAAACCATTTAATATAAATTAGTAAACAAACAATAATCTGTCTCACAAGCTTAAAAGTTTCACCATCATGAAAATCTTAAAAATAAGGCCAAACAAAAAAGCAGAACAGGATGTTTTCAGTCARTTTGACATATAAAAGTATGAAGCTGTAGGTTTTTCGTAAAAAAAAATAAAAAAAAAGTAGTCCGTTTTTTAACTCCATTCATCCACAGGTACARCTGGTTTCTGCTTTAAATGTTTTCCCGTAAAAAGAAAACACCAAATGGTGTAAGTGTGGCACAAAGTCCCAGTATGAGAATCACAATCAGCTTCCTGCCATGCAGCCAGGTCCTCCTGTTTCTGACAGAAATCCAACTCAGTGGGAGATAACTCATCTGAAGAGGAGGGGAAAAAAATAAAAATAAATACCATCTCTGTATTTTGTGTAAGGCCACGTTAACCACACATGGTAATCTTGTTTTAGTAAGACCTGTGATGTTGCAGGTTGCTGGTCAGTCCTCCTTCAGGTTGTCGATGAGCTCCTGGGTCTGCTGGGCCAGTTTCTTCCTCTCTGCCAGCTTCTGCTTCTTCAGAGCCTCCTCTGCTTTTTTACTCTGGTACATCTTCACCCCAGCAAAAGCCAAACACAGCAGCAGTGTCTTCAGGGCCAGGATGTAAAACAGGAGGGGGACATTGTCCAAAACCTGGGAACAGATTGAACTTTTTTCTTATTTGTGTTATTTTTGTTGGTTTCTACTAACTGTTGAGGAGTTGTGATAAGAAAGCAAGCTCTGGAACAGTCTGGGACCCTGGAGAAGAGTCTCTCCTCCTCTGTCCTCCACCAGCTGTCCACTGGAGCTGAGAGTTAATTTGGTCACAGAGAGGAGGGGGGGTTGGCTGACACAGAGAAGCAGCTGGGCACCATGTGTGTCCAACACGTAGCTGTCACTGACCAAACCCCATTCGCTAAATGTCTAATTAAAACATTTCTCTGGATTTTAARCAAAACAAAATGCTGCAAGCCAGGCTTTCGGCTCTTTATAAAGCACTTTTAAATTCGGCATACTTAGAATTTAATACGTGCCTACTGTTAGTAGAAAATCTGAACTTTTAATGCCGCTTTGACTGCTGTTTTCAACTGATTTGGGGTTCACTAACCTGTTTCACACAGATTCACATTTCAAATCTCCGAGGAAATCAACGAAATAAATGAAAACATTATGTCATCATAGCATTTAAAACAGTAACTTATTTAAATGACATTAGACAGAAGTAAAACTTCATCTAATCTCTATGAAAGTTCACGATAATTAGGACACAACATATCAAACAATTAATTAAAAAAATATTGGTTATGCATTTTATACCAAAGCTTGAACTGCTTCACTACAAATGACGACTTTTAGTTTATTTACCTTCCAGTTGATCATCATCGTTGCTGTCAGCAGCGGCGCAACCAAACCTGCTAYAAGTGCTCATCCAAGGGAGGCGGGACTTAAAATAACAGGCCAATAGAAATCTAGAATCTTCTAGACGTCTTGACTGATGCGTTCACTGAAAAATGGAAAAATATCGCCTGGCCTTAAAAACCGAGTTTTAAAAAGGTCACAGCTACAGCCTGTTGGTCTCACTTCGTAGCATCAAAACAATCGGACTTAGCAGGGACAGATGTAATTAAACATACCAGATGTGCCAAAAACATTTCAAAGTTTGGTCAATTATAAAATATTTTCTGATATCTTCCTGCACAACTTCCCAAACTGACATTGAATGTACCCCTACCTAACGGGGATCATGTGTAAGGTGTTTATTAGAAGGTTCTMGCAAGCGAGTATTAATAGATGTTTTCAACGTAATTACAAAGTTATAACAGAGTGACAATACACAAGGTAAGRTGTTGTAACATTTGTTTAGTTTGGTGAAATTTATCAGTTTCAGGACTAGTCAATATTGCCTAGTTCTTCAGCAAATCTGCCAACATCGAATTTAGKTGTGTAGAAGCACATGTTTCGCGAGTCGCAAGTATTACTGTTGCTTCTAAACAACTAAATTCGATGTTGGCAGATTTGCTCAAGAASTAGGCAATAAACTACATGTGTATGGCAAGCCATTTTAGCATAAAATTGGATTCACGACACTTCCATTCCAGATACTGTATCTGAAACTGAATTATGACTAGTCATATTTGTTATTTAAGATATCTCTAWTWACATTTTGACTAGTATTAATGACGTCAGATTTACCWATGAGGTCTAKATTACAGTATTGTCCTGTAGTTTGTCCAGTGTGGCTCAGAAATATCTAGGAAAACTTCAAATAGCTCAGAATAGAGCAGCCAGAGTAGTTTTGAATTGTCCTTTCCACACGAATGTGCATGAGATGCATCTTAAATGGTCTTGGTTAACTGTGGAAGAAAAACAAAATATAGTCTTCTACTGTTTATGCATAGGGTAATGATAAATAATACACATTATTTTAAAGAAAGATTATTATTCAGTGGACATTGTTATGAGCATGTAACAGGCTCTGTCAGCAACAACATGATTACAGTTCCAAGCCCTAGAAGTAACTTTATGTGAAAATCAATTCTGTATAGAGGGGCTTCAGAGTGGGATTTACTCCCATCTAGTGTTAGGGAAATTCAAAATCCAAACATTTTWAAGAATGCTATAGGCCTAAAACAGAAATTATTGTATTGAAAGTATTACATATGATATATTATTGTAATTGTTTGAGTAATGAGGTGTTTTGCAGACTGCACATGCTTTTTTGGATGTATTAAGTGGCTGGTGTTATGAGGCTTTTATAGCTTTTAAAACTCTATGGAAATGAATATGTACATTTTAATTATATGTATTGTTAATTGTATTTTTGTATTTTGATTTTATGGACCCCAGGAAGACTAGCAACCACTGCTGTGGAAGCGAATGGGGATCCAAATAAAACAATAATAAAAAAAAACAATATGGAGCCTTCAAATCAAGATATCTTAAAAGGAATTTTGTCTAGTCAAAAATACAATTCAAGATATCTCTAAGTTAGTTTTGACTAGTCACTAGTTTCTTTCATGATATCTCACTTTTAGTTCTGACTAGTCATAATTCCAATTAAAGGTATCTTAAACGACATTATTATTTAAGATATCTTAAATGTACTTTTAGATATCACAAATAAAGATTTGACTAGTTCAAATTCACTTACAGATATCTTGAAAGAAAATAATGACTAGTCAAAACTAAATTAGAGATATCTAGATCTGTAATTATGACTAGTCAAAATTCTTTTTAAGATATCTCTAAATGAATTTAAGATATTGTGAATATTTTTTTCATCTAGAGGGCTTTTCTGTTTAAGATATCTTGAATTAACATTTTGACTAGTCAAAATGACATTCAAGATGTCTTGAATATTGATTCTGACTAGACAAAACGTCACAGATTTACGTAGCATTTTGGCAGAAATATTACTACATAGACATCATAGCTAATGTAGAATGTTTCACTGCAGCCGCCATCTTGGATAGGTCCACATCTAAAATAATATTAGCTCCACCATTTTTTACCCGATTTTCACACAGTTTGGTTTGTTACAAACGGCAGAGATGTAGTTATGATAGAGAACACTATTTCATGCTGAAATACTTTGTTTATGTTATTTAACAAAGACTATAAGTATTTATATCTAAATCTACCTTTATTTTATAAAACATGAATTGGATAACTCAGTGTTCTCTTCTTACTGAATATAGATTACCGTACATATTTATGTATCCGTGGATGAATGTTATACATTTTTTTGTTTCTTCCTTTTTCTCCTGTTAATGGGTATATGTGCTTTTCTTTTTTCTTTTTATTGTCTTTCTTTTACTTTATTTGTATATAGCTTGAAATAAAATCAAACTTTAACAGACATATATGGTATGGCATATTGATAAATGTATAAATGAATAAAAATAGAAATTGTCTTTATTGTGTCTCAATGGAGAAAATTGGGTGTATCAGCAGCAAAGTGACAGGCAATTCACACAGGGTAAAATATATTTTAAAATGTATGAATAAGGAATTAAGTAAATTTTAAAGAAAGCAATTAAATAGAAAAAAAAACATACATTTTAATTGAAAAAAACTTGTTTGATTGTTCCTTTGAATTCTCTTTTAAACAAACACACTATGACCCTTATGTACACAAATTATATATAGGCCTAAATGTCTGTGTCACTGGGAAACCTTCAAAATGTGGAATAAATAAATAAACATCAAATGATAATGTGAGAGAACAAGTCCCAACTGTTTTTATTTTATTGATTGCCAAATAGCTATGATGACAAAATATTATAAATGGACAAATAACCAAAACTATTGTTCAATATTACGTATAGAAAGATAATCATGTGATCTGTTTTCAAGCTGCACTAATGCAAGAAATACGGACATAGTTGCTTTCTCTGGTGCTCCCTACAGAGAGAATCATCCAATAAGCCGGCAGCAGTCTTATTTTATAAAATATGAATACGAAATATGAATAACATGTGCACACCATGAGCTATCTAGCCTGCATATATCTATGATTTACAATTAGTCGTACTCAGCCCCTAGTCTGCTATTAGGTGGTCTGCAGTGTCAGAGGTCAGTCCAGCTGAAATGCTGTTTTTAACACAATTTGTATCTCTGTAGCACATGCTCAACATGAATTAAAAAACAGATCGTTTGTTGTAATTCATTGCATCTTCACAAAATTCTGCAGGCAACTGTTTGGACAGCTAAGTGGCAGCATGGGGGCTTGCGGGCAATTTCTTATTTCAGATATCTAAAAACCTCATTTTGACTAGTCCTAATTACRTTTGCGATATCTTGAATTGTAATTACGGATGTTTGACCCTTCAAATGATGAATTCAGTGACGTCATTTTAGATATCTGAAATTACATTTTGACTAGTCAAAATTCCTTTTAMGGTATCTTGAATTGGAATTATGACTAGTCAGAATRTTAATACAGATATCTTAAATTAATTCAGGATAGTYAAAATGTAGTTATTCCTAGTCAAAACTCATTTTAGATATCTAGAATGTAATTACAGATAGTCAGACAAAACCGATTTTATGTTAAAATGGCTTGCCATACWTGAAGGAGGTGACCAAATACGAGTTTTGTAACATGTCAGTGAAGAATTGAAAACGCCGGCTGCAGTCTGCGATCAGTGAAATAAACACCATTCCTCAACCCTGTAAGATTGACAAAATATCTGGTGTCAGTGTGACGTAATTGAGCATACGTAGTCACGGTGGCCGAGAGGTTAAGGCGTTGGACTCGAAATCCAATGGGGTTTCCCCGCACAGGTTCGAATCCTGTTCGTGACGACGTTTTTGTTTTTACATTACATCAATATTTACTGTGTACACAATAAACATTCCTTAGCTTTGTATACTATACTGACATACTTGTTCCAAATCGTGTTGACATATAAACAACGTGGAATACCATTACTGACTGATAAGTTTAATGTGTGGATGTGATCTACATCAGTGTTTCCCAAAGTTGGGGTCGGGACCCAAAGTGGGGTCCCGAAACATCAAGGTGGGGTCCTGAAAAGATTTTCTGAATTAATTACATTTTGCCTTAGTTGTTACAAAGGAGTGAGGTTAGTGTATTTAAAATTTAAAATGGATAAACGTAGTACAAAAAATATTTACTATGCCCATGTTTAGTTGACCTGATACAAATGTTTGTCATCCAAAAATAGTTGGTTGCACAGGTCTCTGCTACTGTTATTTGT